GCTAATAAAGCATGATGTATACTTGTATACATGTATTTCTCTATTTATAGTGTTTTAATGTATTTCTATTAGTAAACAAGACATAGTTAAAGTGAGTGTTGTATATCTCATTTTCAGTCATTTCAGACAGACTAGATTGCTGGGCCAAAGTCAATTGTATGAAGTTCAGCAAGGCCAAGATGCAGGTCCTGCACTTGGGCCACAACAACCCCAGGCAACGCTACAAGCCTGGGGAAGAGTGGCTGGGGAACTGCCCAGCAGAGACGGACCTGGGGGTTCTAATTGATAGGTGGCTGAATATGAGCCAGCCTGTATTAGTAACAGTATGACCAGAAGGACCAGGGAGATGATTATCCTCTGCACTCAGCACTGGTGAGGCCACACCTGGAGTATTGTGTTCAGTTTTGGGCACCTCAATACAAGAAAGACATGGAGGTGCTGGAACAAGTCTTATGAGGAGCAACTGAGAGAACTGGGGCAATTTAATCTGAAGAATAGGAGGCTGAAGGGAGACCTCATAGGCCTCTACAACTACCTGAAAAGACATTTGTAAAGAGGCAGGCACTAGTCTCTTCTCACAAATAAGTGGTGGTAGAACAAGAGGGAATGGCCTCAAGCTGCACCAGGGGAGGTTTAGACTGGATGTTAGGAAGAACTTTTTCACTGAAAGGGTTTTCAGCCATTGGAACATGTTGCCCAGCAAGGTGGTTAAGTCACCATCCCTGGATGTGCTTAAAAGTCATCTAGATGTAGCACTTGGGGATATGGTTTAATGCTGGACTTGGTACCATAGGGTTAGTGGTTGGACTCGATGATCTTTAAGGTTTTTTCCAACCTAAGTGATTCTGTTTCTATGATCCTATGCCTTTCCCGCAACACTTGAAAGGAACATTTGGCCATCTTTAGGATATAAATATAAACCAATGCTCTTAAAGTATGGAATTTCATATGTGATTTTTAATCATGTATCCCCACTTTGTTGCATGTGAATTGTAAAGCAGCCACTTTAAAAACATATTCCAGAATCAAAAGGACAGATTTAATTACCAGAGATCCAACTCTAGAAAGTCTCTAGAAATGTAGGAATGAGTGATCACAACAGAAGTGGTGAATTCTGCTGTAGTATCAGAAATTTATACCAGAGGTCACACATTTAGTACAGCAATAAAAGTAGAGTTTGTGCACACCTATTTTACCCACAAATGCAGTCATACACAGGTTTGATGCAATTTCCTGTGACAAGAAGTATTTTTATTTAACTTACCAAGGAATAGTCATCTATATTTTTATGAGAGATATTTTCAAAGCAAGATTACATTATGAATACTTTAGAGTTTCTGTCTACTTACAGCATATTACAATTATATTGATAGCTCTTTAAGAATTAGAAAGCTGCTAGGGACAGAATATATTTATTGGCAGAGGGAACTGTAGTGTACATACCAAAAAATAGCAATCTGATATAATGCTTAAAAAAATGGGACCTTATTTCTGAAGCAAATAGGAAGAAAAGTTAAATGGAATTTGATATGAGCAACTATAGAAACAATATCTATCTCCTTAATGCTTTGCTGATTATGTATTTGCCTTGAGATCAAATTTATTTAAAATCTTGTTTGTTTGTTTGTTTGTTTGTATATATTGCAGAAACACCCCTGGACTGTGAGGTTTCACAATGGTCTTCCTGGGGTCTTTGTAGAGGTCTTTGCAGACAAACAGGGACCAAGATCAGAACTCGTTTTGTCCTTCTCCACCCTGCCAATAACGGAATGCCTTGTCCAAATCTGGATGAAGAAACAGGATGTGAACCAGAGAATTGTGTCTGAAATAAAGAAAATATAATAATTTAGATAATTTAAAAGTAGGATAGTAGTTTAACTAAATCTAAACTACATGTCAGTGTTCCTTCTAATTTGGATATCCTTCACTATTTTGCCGGAAGGATGTATTAGACTGGTTTTTGAAAGTTGTATTTTAATATCAAGATTTTGGGGAGTTAAATTCCTAAGGTTTAGTGTGACAACAGTACTTGTTCATTTACAGACAAAACCCCCCACATAAATTCTTGCTATAAATAAACTGTAAGTTCTTGGAGTACCCTCTAGCGGCAGAAAAGAAGATAGTTTGAAACATTATGTTTCACACACGTAAAAACCTTTCAATCACAAAATCTAAACTAATAACTTTCTTAAATACTGTGATTTGTTGACCTACAGATATTTATACCTAGAAATGATTTTTTCCCTAAATTATGTTTTTATAATTTATTGGCACTTTTGTTGTCTTCCTAAATGTGTTTAACGTGCATTTCTTCAGAAACTACTTACATAAATAAGAGACCAGGTGTTTGCAGTGTGGTTAAGACAAGAATACAACTGACTAAATTGGTATTGAGATGTATGAATATGTGGAAATGTCTTTTACTTTTTTTTTCTCAAAAGTGAGAAGAATATATGTCATGAGGACACTAAATCACTAGAAAAGATCAGAAGTGTGGATACTAAGTAGAAAACCTCTGAACTTAATTACAGGTGTTGGTTGAGATTTAAAAACTGACTGATTGTTGGGGTTTGTCTCTCAATAGACAACTATCTAAAAGTTAACACTGTTGACCATACTATAAATTATATAATTGTCTTTCTACATGCAGGAAGTGTGTTCATGTTTCTTTAAATGTTTGCTGCTGTTTGTGCTGTTCTAATTGTTTTACAGAGAAAACTCACCAGTGTTTTAATTTTATCAAAAATTGAGGTACACACAGATATAACACAACACAGTATGTCACAAACTGACTGCAAGTCTTACTGCTCAAATAACCATAAACCAAACATAACATATGGCTTATAAGGAGTTGTGGCTACCAACTAGGAGAAGAATTTGGGAATCAAACTGTTTGGTAGAATATCCTTAGAATCAGATCACAAACTTGTACAGTGCACTGCAAACATCCAGCACAGGTATTAAACAAGAGAGCTGATCTGAATGGGTTCTTTTTGGAATATGCCAAAAATCAAAAACATTATTCTGTACTTAAAGAAGCACACTATATTCTCTGTAGGGCTGAAACATTTAAAAGGTTCTCTATACTTTCTTCCAGGAGATAAATCTTGCAAAGACTCATAGAAATTTGAAACTTTATCAGACTAAACTAATCTGGTCCTCCAAGTACTGATAAACACACAGTTGTTAGAGATAAGTGTAGTAATTTCTACATATTGTATTCTTCAGATTCCCATTGTTGCCTGTTTTTCAAAATTGCTTCACTGACTTTTTTATTATACCTTTTTTTTTTTTTTTTTTTTAGATTCCCTTGTTTCCATCTTATAATGGAAATAGTCTTGTTACACTACACATCTTTCCATTTTTTTCTTTCTAGATTAACTTTTTTCATTCCATGCTTTTTAAAAAAGACGTATTTATTATAGAGGTACATAGGTATCACCATCTTAGAAAACTAAACATGAATTAAGTATATATTTTTATTATTCTCTGTGGATAAGAGCTAATTTCAAATTGATTGATTAGCTGGTGATAGACTAAACATAATAAAGAATTAATAATGGGCAGAAATCAGATGCCAGCCAGAATTACGACCTAGGGAAAGTAAGTTCAGAAAGCACAGGGCATCCTTGCAGGAACCTTCCTGGAAGGTCTCTCAACAATAGAGTTTTGCTTTTTCACATGCCCAGAACAGCTAAAGGGCTGAGTCCAGTAGAAGAGCACCTGTATCTGTAATTGTATACATCACCCAAACCTAGGATTTCAGTCCTACAGGGAATGATTTGATAGTGGAGCAGTTCCAGTGTTTACTCCATCTCCTGTGCAACTTACCGTGCACTTTGGCCACCATAACCCCAGGCAGCACTACAGGCTGTGGGAAGAGTGCCTGGACAGCAGCCCAGCAGAGAGGGACCTGGGAGTATTGGTTGACAACTGGTTGAACAGGAGCCAGCAGTGTGGCCAGGAAGGCCAATAGCATCCTGGCTTGTATCAGGTGTGACCAGCAGGAGTCGGGATGTAATTCTCCAAACACCAAATTAAATTTTTATGGTGGATCAGAGTTATCATTACTGAGAAGAACTTACCAGTACCTTAAGGAATTTAAGGATCAGTAGCTGTGAACATATGGAAGCTTTTCCTATTGTCTCCTAAAAGGTGGGAGTGCCAGCTGAAACTGTGTCTATATTTTTGCTTTTCTATGGGATGGCTTCTCTGCAGATATCCAATACAGCACCAAGGTGTGTGTGTGAAACAAACTAACTGCAGTTTGAGGCCCTGCTCCATGTTGCTAAGCAAATACAATTTCTCACAACTGAGGAGAAGCTGTGTCAGAGGGCCAACTGTACAAGTGAACTGTGTAAATGGTCCAACTCAACCAAATCTCATCTACCAAGCCTGCTATGAAGCATTGCAGGCAGTTGTCAAAATGGTATAGGGTCTGCTGTTATAAGCAATCTGGGAGAGGGACAGTCTTAGATTCATTTAAAAGTAGCTCTAATATCCTAGCAACACTGTACAAGTTAAGCATGGTCACGGAAACCAAGATGTGCTTAACTTCTAGAACGGGAAGGAAAACACATGCCAACCTTTCTGATCACTAGATGAGTACTGTACCCACCAGGGCATACCTGGAGTGTGAGCAAAAGGTCTGAGAGTACCTGGTGGTACTGAAGGTAAAAAACATCCATTTAATGATATTTCCAGATCTAGGCAATTAAAATACATAAGGAATATCTGATCCGTCATGAATGAGCCAATATAATAAAGACTCTCAGACTATTCAATTAAATATTTAACCTGCTTAGAAAATAAATCTAACGCTTAATAATTAACAATTCTGAAGGCAGCAGAATCCTGTTTAATAGGGTGTAGTGTGCAGAACTTGTGTCCATGGTAATTTATAGACAGTGTGAATGACTAAAACAAAAGAAAAAAATCTCTCAATATGTTACATGAACACCTGATCACCTAGAAGCTGACTTATTTTTGTTTCCTGGAAGTCCAGCAGCCCCACTATGTTTTCATTTGCTAGCCACAGGCACAGAGGTAATCTGTCTGTCCCAACTAGTCAAGGCAAAATAAAGGATAAAGATGCATTCCCCTGTACCTCTCGTGTTCTGTCATTAAAACACAGAATTTTGGAAACCTCAGGTAGTCAATGAAAAGCTAAAAGGATGATTACTTAAGTAGTTCACAATCTGCAGAAAAACCTATTTTTCTGGCAGGATAGTATGGCATGAGAATTTATGCAGGTGCATGTCAGTCAAAATCTCCCTGTGGTGAAGGTTAAGAGTCCAATTATATGGTGAGATTCTGGGTAATCTAAAATTATTTCTGATGCTAAAGTAGTAACAAAGGCATAAAATCACCCTTGAGACTCCTAAGGTGTCAATGGCCATGAGATACAATTTATATCCCTCTATCCTTAACCATACGGAGTCAACAAAAAGGAAATTATGTTTAAGGAATCAAGGCTTCTCATCACTGAAAATCTCTTTATTAGTACAGGGATGTCATATTTTGCTGTTGGTGTACTAATAATTCTGCTAGAACTTCTGTGAAGACACTTTATTCTGTGGAATGAACTGAACTACTTATGGGTGTGAGCCTGTGTCAGTGGAAGACAGACATTTTTTATTGAGACAGCTTCTTAGATAGCAGGTACAGTGAAGAGCAATAAACCAGCAGAGGTGAAATAAACCAGTAAATTTTAGATTACAAACATTGAGAATGAGTTGCTGTTCATAATTCTTCCTTGATACTAGGAAAATATATGTTTTTATTATGTTGGAGCCAATTCTACACTTGCTAGTGCTAGTAGAACGTGTCTTCTGCTAAAGTACATTCTCAGAAAGGCTGCTCAGAAATGGATGACAAAATCAACATAGTTTTAGTTGCTAATAAATAGGTGTCACAAAAACCAGCAAATGCAGATGGCTCATTGTGTGATGACACTGAAAGAAGAATTCAGAGGAGGTGTTAAACAATAAGGCAAAAGTGTTAGTAATGATCCTTTGGTACATGCCTAGTATTGAGGATGCAACTCACACAGCTGAGCATTTGACAACTATATAAAAACAAAACATAAAATAGAATCCAACCATCACCTTTTCAATCAAAATAAATGCAGATAAAATTTCAGCAGAGATGGCAGTTTCCATGTCTATGGCACTGTGATGCTCCTGTATGACATGTGTGTGCAGTAGCTTATATCCTATATCCTGAAATCAAGATGAGAGAACTCTGAAGTTAACTAAGAGTTTGATCAAAGACACATTCAAGGACATGACTGGATAATTTCATCTGATAACGCCAGGAGCTGCTGAGGAACATGGCAGGGTTGGAGAGAGTCAGTCATCAAACTAAAGTCTCACAACAGGCGTGTAGAAAAAGTGCTCAAAGGTGGTTCCTCCCTGCTGGAAATGATCCCATATGTGGGTCCTCTCTGCTAGAAAATGACCAGATAGCCTCTCAAAAAGGCTAACCTTTCAGATACAGTGATTTCAGTTTATAGGATAGGGATACAGGATTTATAACACTTGAGTAGTAACTGAGTTCATCATCAGGCTTATAGATTTGTCTGTATTCATAGAAAGGCTAATCATAAAGTCATTGTTTGACTTACACTGTAACTTTCTTTAGAGAGTTTATTGGGCAGTATCGAAGAGAAAGACATTCTTATGTAAAAAGAATCCTATTTAGAACTTGTTAATTTTATTATGTTTTACCTGCTGTATCATATTCATTAGTAATTCAGAATCTTTTACTGTTCGAGTTCTTTTGACTTTCCTTTTTTTTTTTTTTTCCCCCCCCCAGCCCTTTTATGTAGCCCCTATGGGTTTTGTACAAGTATACACCTATGTCCAAATATTTAGGTTGGAAATTAAAAGATTTTGTAACAAAAAAGAAGTGAAGCTTTGGAATAATCATCCAGTTTAAATGTGAAATATAAGTTAACAAGTTCATTAAAGGTGAAAAATGAGCAGTTTACAGAAAGGGATAGCCAGTGTGGTTTCTTACAGTAATCTAAAGCATTGATCTCAAGTACCTGAGAGGTCTTTCCAGTTTAATTTTCTTCTATGTGTGTAAAATACAATTTTAATCTAGCTGCTAGAAAA